GGAGATTAGATAAGTTCCCACTTTACCATTTTAATTAAACGTGAAAGATAGAACCAGCATCCACAAGTATCTCTTATGTGCTCAGAACTGTGCTAGTGCTTAGTAAATGTCATATAATTTATTCTGTACATGAATTCCAGGAGTTTATTATATTATTACCCCCATTTTACTGACATGAAATACGAAGTTCAGAGAGGACACACAGAGATAGGTGGCAAGAACTGCTACAAATCCTTTTGTAAAATGAGCTAATGAATGAATGGATGAAAATAAAATAAGAGGCAAAGCTGGGATCCTCATCAGATCTGCATGGCCACACACGCAGCCTTCAGGCTGCCTCGCACAAGGGACCTCCCAAACTGGACAGCCTCCTCAGGGAGCAGAACTCCTGGGCACAAGTAACTTCCTTCAACTGATAAAAGTCATACCCAAGTCCTCTGGGGACAAGAGATGCCAGCTGGGATGTTTCTGAACTCCGATTGTCTGTATTTAACCCTCTCCTGTGTGCCAAGGGAGGGACCCCCATCCTCTTCTAGGGCCGCACACAGGAGGCCCCGACGCTGTCAGGCCTTGTACCCAGGGCCGCCTCCTATTCAGGCGCCACTCCATGGGAGCAGATTCTACCACATCCACACGGGTGCATCTAACACCTCAGATGACTCCAGAAGTAAATGGAACTAAACACTGGGTGATCTTGTGCAATTGCCTAACTCCTCTGAACCAAACGGTGCTTGGCACAGAGTCAGTGTTTGGGAACCATTTGTAAATGGGATGACGGAAGGGAACGAGAGAGAGAGGCAGGGGGGATGAACAGGTTACACACCACAACAGCTGACAAGGTGAGACAGGCTGGATTTGGACTGCCCGTTTTTCTTGCCATTTCCAGTCATCAATCTAAGGGGTATAGACCCAGAGGAGGAAGGAGATTCCTTTTCCTGGGCTATATCTCAGGAAATATGCTCTTATTTCTTATCTTCTCAACCTCCTTTCTCAGCAGTCAATGTGTCCATATCCTTTGACACACACTGAGATATAAGCATTTCTGAGCACAGTAAAGAGAGTCAAGGACAATGGGGTGGGGAGGGACTGGCGGGGAGGAATGGGTCAATGGGGAGAAAAAGAGACATCTGTAATATTTTGAACAATTAAAAAAAATTTAAATATAAAGGCCTGAGGATTTGTGGTGCACAGTCTGTACAGAGGCCAAATAAATAGCAGTCCAAGGCCTGACTGGAGAGAGCCAGCTCTATCTCAGCATTTGCCTTTTTAGAGATTTCCCAGACCAGGTCCCTCCCAGGGTCCTGTCCTAGTTTGGGCTTTGTTCTACTTTTCTGAAAGTAACTAAAAAACAAGAATTCAAGAGCCTGAGAGAACCATGGGCTTGGCAAGTCCAAACCCCAAGTAAGAGCATACACATTCAGGGTCTTTATTCATCAGTACTTGAGAACCAAGAGTACATTCACCCAAAGACAAAAGCCTCGAACTGCCTGGTCCACAAATGGGATAAAATCAGGACTGCTTATATTGATGACCGTGGTGTTTGAATGACTGTTATACTGGCAGCTTGTTTTTTATTCTTTAATGGATGTCCAGCCAAATGATCAGCAGCTTCATAGGCAGCCAGTTTCTGTCACATTCAGAATCTCTTACCAACCGACAGAATCACTTTCTGGATATCAGGAGTGGCTTATATATTTTATAACTCCTGAACTGCACCTCCCACCAAAGAACCAGGGAAAAGGGTCTGGCCTTCACAGTACTCAGCCACCACCCCAGGAGCCAGGAAAAGACAAACTTTTTTTTTTTTTAATAAAATATCCTACTTGATGGGAAATAGAGGGAATGATACTATGCTACAATCTACAATGAAAAAGTTCTCTCTACAAAAGAATTCAGACTCCAAAGAGTATATACTATATGATTTCATTTATAGAAAGTCCAAAGTTAGACAAAAATCTCCCATGGTGTTCTGAGTCAAGAGATGCTTCCCTCTGTGCAGGAAGGAGATAAGGATAATTAGACGAAGCACAGAGGAACTTTGGGGATGCCCGATAACATTTTATTTTGATCTGTGTGCTGGGTGCATGAGTGTGTTCATTTTGTGATAATTAAAGTTGTATACTTAAGGACTTGTGTGACTCTCTACAGGTCTTTTATACATCAATAAAACGATTAAAAAATCACTCTCTTTGTAGACAGAAAGTGGCTTATACTTGCTGTGGCCTACTTACAGAACCCCATTCATGTATTCTGTGCCAGAGACTTTAAAAAAGAACAAACCCATAAGCCTATTTTCTCACCTTCAAGTGGTTTTTTCATGGTTTTCAAATTGAGTAAGAGGGTTTTTTTGTCCCTCCCCCTCCCCCCCAGCCTGAATATTGCTGAATTTCAGGGCCTAATCAAGCCTTTTTCTGCACTTTGCCAATCTCTGGATGGGCCAAATGCTGGCTGTGGTCCCACAGAGAGATCAACAAAGTAATCCTTAAGCCTCCCAGGTCTGAGGCGGAGGATAGCAGAGGCACAGGGAGCGCAGGCTACTTAGGCAGCTTTCCCCAGATTACACAATGAGTTGCTGGTGGGGGGCCCTGTGATTCTCTATCCAAGGGCTATCACTTTCCTACTACAGCTCGTTCCACAAGGGCCAATTAATAAACACTCTCCTTTGGGGAACTGAGGAAAATGAGCCCAGGGAATGTCACTGGTCATTCTTGGTATACAAAGCACACAAAGGGGCTGACCGAATTCCTCTCCAACAGGAAACCATTAGTCTCGGAAAGCCAGGAAGAGGAGGAGGGAAGTGCTGAGTCTGCAACAGGGCATTGCAACACAGTCCAGTGTTTCTGTGGAAAGGATATTCTACTAATCAAAACACAGTTGCATAAATGGACTAACTCTACTTAAAAAAAAAAGAAATTTAAAGCCTATAAATAGGGGCCACACAACCCTGATTAATAATTTTAAAGCTCTTTCTCCACTCTCTTTTTTAGAAAGTAGCTAAAAATAAAGGCTTGAAACTTGAAATAATGTAAGCAAGTAATCACACACACACACTGGGCTTTCCCCATATATGGGTGCCTTATTCTTCAGACTTTGAAAAGGCCAAATGAAGAGATGGCCAACAACCAAAATAATCCTGCAGACATCTGAAAAGCAGGAGAAAGAACTAGAAGAGCTGATGAATGACTAACAATTGCAAGGCTCAATGGGGGTAAATAACACTGAGAGGGGTTAGTTGCCATAGTACTTTAAAAACATGGGCACATGCATGTTGACACTGGACCCCTTCTAAAAGAGACTGTTTTGCCCTCTGGCCTCAGCACTGAGAAAACTACAACTGCCGTAATGTAACATAAAGGACTTAAAGAAGGAAACCAGTGCAGGGGCATGACTGAAAATTTAATTAAGGCCCTTCTCAGTATGAAATCTGTAATGGAGATGAGGGCACATCTCAAGGTCAGAAGAAAGGGAAGGAGACATGAAAAAGAGAAGAGGGTGGGGATTCGAATGAGATAAGATAGTGTGAATAGCAGAGGTCGGCTTTGGAAGACCACTTTCTTATGACCAAGGGTTATTACAGTATCTGTTGGGCCTTACTGGAAATGTTTCTGTAGAAAAGATGAACACATTCATATAAAAAAAAATGCCACCTTTGTGAGGCAGGCTGGAAAGGTCGCATTGAACAGTATCTTATGGTTTACAAAGCCTCGTTACAGACTTAATCCTGGACACAAGGTAAAGCACCTGCTTTTACTGATATGGAAACTGAGGCTTGGGGATGGTAAGGGACCTAACACAGGTCTGTGGAGGGTGACTTAGTGTAAGAGGGCTGCAGTAATAATTCAAAGCTAACTCTTCCAATGTGCAGGCCAGGGCTCTTTCCACTCACAAAATCTAAGAGTGAGCTCTGGTCAGAGTGCCAAATTTAGGTCTGGATTGCAGTGTGTCCACTATCTCGCTCTATGACCATGGACAAGGAATTTCCCTTCTTCAACTGGAAAATGATAGGGCTGTCCTACATGACAGGAAGCAGACGGAGGGGAGGCAGAGAGAGAAGGACATGAATGAATGAGTCACCCTATTCCCTGCACTCATCTGTGAGTCTGTTCTCAAAAATTTCCAGACAGGACTCTCTGGCACTATCAATGCTTCATGCATGAAGACAGCCTGCCTGTTATAGACTGACTTGCATGCATGAAACCTAGAGAAATGATTTCCAAAATATAAGACTAGAAAACCTCTTCATTCCTCCAAACCGAATAAGAGAATTACTGAAGAGGTGAGATGAATTCCACTCTAAATTCTCATTCCACTACTTTTTGTCTTTTTCGCTCTCAATGGAATGGACCTTCCTTAGGATGCTTCAGATTCTTTCCCTGAAAGTAAACCCCACTTTTTGGTGATGCTGCACACTTCTAATGGTTTTCCTAGACATGCCTATAAAGGCTTTGTATTTGGCTAGAGAGTCAATAATAACAAACAACAGCAAGAAACATACTAGGCATATTTATTGAGGGGCTGTGACAGGCACTCGCTGTTGCTGGGCCCTTTCTATATATCATCCATTATCTTTGCAATGAGGTCAGTACTATTGTCTCCACTTTATAGATAAGAAAACTAAGGCTCGCAGAAGTTTAGGGACTTGACCAAGGGAGGCCATCTTAATAACCGTAGGGTTATGATTTAAACCTCGCCTGGCTGATTCCAAAGCCCCATTCTTGTTTTTTTTCTTTAATTATGAGACCTCTAGTCAATATTCTAAATGTATCAAAGACTCTGGGTAATGCTGCTTGTTCACGACTTCTTCTCATCACCATCTGCAGAATGGAATACTTTCCTCGTGGTCATAAATCTCTCCCACTGACATTCCAGGGAAGCTGGAGGGTAAATAGGGTAGAGGAGAGGTGGGCTGGGTTGATGGCATGTAAAGTGGCCCCAAATGCTTTCCCCCTGCATCACTGGGATCAGGTCCAGAACTGTGATTTCATTTCCAAATCACTAACCTGGTGAGGCACAAGCCCGAGAGAGGTTGGAGGCTCATTCATGCGGTCGTCACTGCTGCTGGCAATGGCGTAGCCCCTGAGAAAAGGAAATGATTAGAGCAGCTCATTTAATAAAAGTTTATGTTTAACATATGTGAGGGTGACCTGGAGGCAGTCCATGCAAGACTTATAAGGATAACCAAAATGCCCCTTGCTAGGCAGCATATAACTGATTTTCCTTGCAGGGAAGGCAGAAGAGTACAAAAAATGCTTGAGTTTTGGAATTGAAAAGACCAGAGCTTGTCACCTTCTCTGTGTTTCAGGTCCATCATCTATAAAATAGTAATAATATGGTTGTGAGAAATATTAGATAAATTGCCACGCACAACGTTTGGTACGATAACTTGTTTATTCTGAGACAGTCTTGTAATACGCCACAGCACATTTTCGTATTGGAATTTGAAATGGAAAACTTTTCAACCATAACTTCTTGAGGTGATGTAAATGCTACTAAAGTGGAGGAAGGAAAAAGAAGAGCGAGGAACTAACTGGGCAGGAGAATGAGTACATTCCTCCTGGAATAAGGGTGTGTTTGCTTACGGCACAGGAGACATGAGACACAGGACCTGGTTTCAGCCTACAGTTAGTGAGAACACAGCAGACAGAGGGCCAAAGTCAGGAAATCACAGAATCAGCTCTCCAAGACTTTCTCCCAGATACTTCCTGTCAGGAGGCCACACTAAGCTTAGATGGCATGGAGAGCTAAGGAAAACGACAGAGATGAGTGGACGACAAAAAAAGCTGCTTATTTTCATTTAATTATGGAGTATTTTTGCTAGTTACATGATACCAATGATGTACAAAGGCCATCTTTTCAACTGTGTAAAAAACTTAGTCACACAATAAATAGGATATTCATGTTAATTTCTGAGAATTGGAAAATAAATCTTTCAAAAATACAATTCTCTCTGCCTGTATTACAAACAGCATGGCAGAGTGATTAAAGCAAAGTCTGGAGCCAAACTGGCTGAGCTAAGGCCCAGTTTTACCACTTATCAGGTTATATAAATTTCAGCAACTTATCCTGTCTATGCCTCAATTTCCCCATCAAAAATGGGATTAATAATAGTTCTTTCTTAGTAGGTTTGTTTTGAGGGCTAAATGAGTTAATATTTGTAAAGTGCTTAGAACAGTGCCTAGCACAAAGTAAGCACTATCTGTTTGAAAAATAAATTACAGTGTTTTTATCATATACTTAGTTGTAAATATTTGCTTGATGTCAGTCTGTCTTCACCATCTGACATTTGAAAGCATAGTCTCAGGCAGATATTGAGAGAATCTTACTATTTTAAAAATTAATTTAATTTTTGTCTCACTTCCATTTATTAAAAGATGAATTAATTATATTGTAAATCATAAAGTAAGATCTTCTCCTTGCTTGGACAAGGCAGAAGTGCAGATCACAAATGTGCTAATTTTTTTATCTTTAATATAAATTATATACAGTGTTAAACATATAGACTAAAAGGTCCAAGGTCAAGTTGAAACAAAGAATATCAACCCACTCATTTCTTTCCTCTCATATGCAAGCCTAGTACACTGTAAGTGCTCAATACATTAAAAGAGGTTTTTCAAAAGTGGTATTTGTGGGCCCTGGCCTGTGCACTGAAGGGCTGGGGGTTTGGTTCCTGGTCAGGGGGCACATACCTGTGTTGCAGGTTCGATCCTCCACCCCAGTCAGGACATGTGCGGGAGGCAACCAATCGATGTGTCTCTCTCACACTGATTTTTCTTTCTTTCTCTCCCTCTCTCTCTCTCTTCCCACTCCCCCCCACCCTTCCACTCTCTCTAAAAATTAATGGAAAAAATATCCTTGGGTGAGGATTAACTGGAAAAAAAAGTGGTATTGGTGGACTAGGTGGTCAGAACCAACCCTCCCACTGAGAACAAACAGAAAAGATAGACAAGCCCGGCTGGTGTGGCTCAGTGGACTGAGCGTGGTCCCATGCACCATGAAAGAGGTCGCTGATTCGATTCCTGGTCAGGGCACATGGCTGGACTGCAGCTCGATCCCTGGTGGGGGGCCTGCAGGAGGCAGCTGATCAATGTTTCTCTCCCATTGATGTTTCTATCTCAATTTCTCTCTCCCCTCCTCTCCCTAAAATCAATTTAACAACAACAACAAAAAGAAAATGCTCTTTAAAAAAAAGATAAGACAAGACAGATAAAGTATAAACATCTTTGTTTGAAAGCATCACAGAGCTACCAAGGTAGGGAAGAATTGCAGAGCCAAGATCTGTGAAGAGAAGCCCATAGAGGTATTTGCAAGAGAAGCTTTCTTCCATAAAGTGACTGCCAACCTCCAAAAGCAGTAGGCATAGGATCAGAAGCTGAACAGTGATACTGACAGACTCATGGGGCTGAAAGAAAAAGCTATACTTTGAGGTCTGCCAAGAAGGAGAAACCATAGAAAATATCTCAAGCTTTGAGCTGGGGCTACATCGGCAGAACAAAGGTGAACCAGAAACAGACAAATCGTAATTGTATTTAGGTATTCTAGGACTGATAGTCCACTTGGCCTAGCAGTTTGCCAGAAGGAAATGTAAATCACATAATCTCTAATTTTTCATATATAATGTCCAGTACTCAATCAAATAAATCAAAAAGATTCAAGGAATTAGAGATATTTAATACAAATTGGACATGTAATGATACTAAGAAGTTGCCTTTAAACTTTTTATATGTAAAAATAGTAGACATACATACTGAAAAGATACATTTTTTTCTGAATGAAATGCTATGTCTTGGATTTGATTTAAAATAAGCCGGAGGGAGGAGGAAACAACGTGGATAGCAGTATAGGTAAATAATGACTGGCCATGTGCTGGTAATTATTGAAAGCTGGGTGGTGTACACAGGGAGTTTATTATTTTATGTATATATCTTCTTTCATACATTTGAATTTTCCATAATAAAAAGGTTTTGTTTTAAAAAAACTAAAACATCAGGTTTATGAGGAGACAATGCATAAACAAAAGCCAAGAAAAACAACAGACAATAGGAAAAGACCAATAGGAGATCCAGATAAGAAAGACATTTGATAAGAACTGAAAAGAAAAACATGGTTAAATATTATCAAGGAATGAAAAAGACCAAAATCATAATTTTAGCAGAGAACAGGAAACGTGTAAAATAAGATAAAATGGAAATTCTGGAACTAAAACATTTAATAATGAAATTAAAAACCCAGTGGATGGTTTTAACACATATTAAAAACAGAAAAAGAGTGAGTTAGTAAATTGGAAGATAAGCCAGTCCAGAGCAATCAAAGACGAGGTGACGGAAACTACAGAAAAGAACGCAGGTTGACTCTAACTGACATGCAATTGGAGACTCAACAGGAAAGAAGCACGAGAAAAGGGGCAGAAGGATATTTTAAAAGATAATGGCTGAGAATTTTCCACAACAGATGAAAATAATCAAGACATGGATTTAAGAAGCAATAGAAAACACAATCAGAATAAATACACTCCGTACATCATAGTCCAACTTCTGAAATCTAATAACAATGAGAAAATCTTACAAACAACTGGGGGGAGGAGAAGAGGAAGAAAAATAAATTGTATCAAAGGAGCAGCAGTGAGATAAACACCTAATTCCACAACAAGGAGAAAGGAGGGACAACAGGACTATACTTTCCACAAGTTGAAAGAGAATCACCTCCAATCTGCAATTCTTTACATAACAAAAATATATTTCAAACTTGAAGGTAAAACAGATATTTTCAGACAAATAAAAACAGATATCTTTGTCATTAGCATTTGTAAAGTATAATAGAAGGTATTCTTCAGACAGAAGACAAATGCCCTTGGCCAGAAGCTTGAAGTTCGAGAAAGAAATGAAAAGTAACAAAAAGGAGCCTAGCTGGCGTGGCTCAGCGGTTGAGCATCAACCTAGGATCCAGGAGATTGTGGTTCAATTCCAGGTCAAGGCACATGCCCAGGTTGTGGGCTCGATCCCCAGTAGGAGGCGTGCAGGAGGCAGCCAGTCAATGGCTCTCTCATCATTGATGTTTCTATTCCTCTTTCTCTCTCTCCCTTCCTCTTTCCGAAATCAATAAAGACATATTAAAAAAAAATTTTTTTTTAAAGCAACAAAAAAGGAAAATATTAGTAAAACTAAATGAATACCAACTATATAACACTAATAATATCTTCTGGGGCTTAAAATATAGACAGAATTTTTAGAAAATGAGTGTTTAGACACTGCTGGTTGCCTACCCAAAATCCATTCTTCATTCTATTTTATTGCAGTTTTATTCAGAGAGGCAACTACATGTCAGTCTTCCTTGCAGCTAACAGTGAAAGGTCATGTGATACAGAAGTTAGAATCAGTGGGCAAGTCTTCCAGAAAACCTCTTTAAAAGATGGGCAAGCCTCAGCTGAGCACAATTTTTATCTTTTGCTCATTTCTTTCTTTTTTTAAAAAAATTTTTATTTATTGATTTTAGAGAGAGTGAGGAAGGGGAAGAAGAGAGAGAATGAGGAAGGAGGGGGAGGAAGAGAGAGAAAGAGAAACATTGATTTGTCGTTCCACTTATTTAAGCATTTGTTGGTTAATTCTTATATGTGCCCTGATGGGGGATCAAACATTGCAACCTTGGCGTATCTCGATAACACTCTAACCAACTGAGCTACCTGGCCAGGGCCTTTTTTTCTTAACTATAACACAAAAGCAGTACTGGAGGAAGAGCAGCCATCTTTTGACCAGAGGTAACAAGCATAAGGAAGAAAGGTAAGAGCAGCTTAGTGAATGACAAGAAGGAACTTGAGTCCTTGATGGCATTACAGAGCCTTTGTATCAGTCCTGGACTACCTGCCTCTGAGCTTCTTGCTTCATAAGAAAAATAAAGCCCTGTTTGGCTAAGTCACTGAAGATGGATCTCTGTAATATACAGCCAAATGCATTTTCTATCATATGTGACTCAGGTGCTGCCTTACACATGTTCAGGGCTAAGGAGGTAAAACTTACTAACAGAATAAAAACATGAAGGTCCTTAGGCCCCTACCAACATTTTTATTCTTCTGTATCACTAAATTGAACTAGGAGAGTTCAATTCCAAAAGGATGCAGTGATGTAGCCCCAAAGATTGCATGACAAGTTCTTCTAGGCCAAAGAATCAGGTCAGGTTTTTTAGTCTTATTTGTTTGAGGACAGAAAGAGCAACACAATTCTCAGAAGAGTCAGACTGAGAAAAGGCCAAAGGAGACACAAAAGCTTTCTTTGTTTAAATACCCATCTCTAAACAGCAAACTCACCCTTCTGGATGCTGCAAAACAGAAACCATCAATTCCACAGCCAGGGCTCCTGCAATCATGGCCAGTCCTGGACGACTCACAGTACACTGCTGGTCCAAGGTCCGGTCTCTGGTTGACTACAGAGAGATAGTAATTGATATGCTCAGCTCTAGCTGTCTGCAGCATGAAACTCCTCAATGATAAAGCTATACAACATAACCAGATGTCACTGTTGGCAAAGAACATTCAGCGTCAAATAACATCATTTCTTGCAAGTACCAAGAAAAACAAAATATACAATTTAGGTAACTAAATGAAGTAATGTACTAAAAAGGACTAGCAGTTATAAACAAATTAAAGATTTGGGGCTTAGCTGTCTCATATATAGACTTGTACAATGTGCCCTTTTAAGTGATTCAATTCAACTCTACTGTGCTTTGTAGTTGAGAGACAGAGATACAGAGAGGAATAATCGTTTGATTAGCACAAATGATTCTATCCTGCCATTTTAATTGAGCTAATGCTGCAGAGTACCTGTGAGATGGGAGCACTAAATTACTATTCCTGCTGTCCTCAGTTCCTATGTGCCTCTCACAATGTGGGCATCTTGTCATTCTGAGTGTTATCTCAGGGCTTAAATACAACTATTTTTGTTACAACATGACTCCAAACCAAAGAAATTCTAGTATTCCAACTCTGGACAAATGAAAAGAGGCTATTAGGGATACTTCTGACTGAAATTTTTACCTTATGAACATAAGTGACTTGACTGCAACTGACCCTTATTTCTATTAGTTATTGAGAATGAAACAACAGAACCAGCTTTGTATTATAACACCATGATGGAGATCATAAAGCCATCCTTCTTCACATAAGAGAATATTTATCATTTTTTCTTTATACTGGGAGGACATGAAAGCCAGTCATCCAAAAGGGGTATGAGTTATTAAAGAACATGGTTTAAAAGAAATGGAAAATGGAGGGGATGGTACAGAAAACACCTCTCTCTGCTTTGTTCCACTAGAAGTGATGATCTATTCTGATAAAAGACAATTCCTACAGACTCTGCCTGGAGTGGTGACATTAACACTATAGACTTACATTTCAACAGTGTACTACTGCTTGGTGTTCAGAGCACTTTCACGTTAAACCCACCTTGCACTGTGAGTAGTCAGGGAAAGTAGTTTTACTTTCCTACTGGGGTTAACAGATAAAATACAAGATGCCCAGTTAAATTAGAATTTTAAATAAATAATGAATTCCTTTTTAATATAAGCAGATCTCAAATATTGCATGGGACATACTTATACTAAAATATTATTCATTATTCAAAGTTAACAGGGAATTCTGTATTTTTACTTGCTAAATCTGACCAGCTTATGGGCCCCAGCCCCATTCTGCAGAAGCACAGGTAGCCTAAGAGACTTGTTTAGAATTACCCCATGAGGCAGCGTCCAAGCCAGAATTAGAATTTGGGTCTTATTCCCCATTTAATTCTCTCTTCACTAAGATAGACACAGGAGACAGTGCTGAGTGATGCCAGGGACTGGTCCATCCTGCAACTTCCTTGCTGAGCTTTGCACAAAAATGGTTTGTTCCTGCCTTTTTATTGGTGAACAGGGAACAGCTGTACACAGGTGATGATGCCAATCAAGGCCCACAGAGGGATAATGTCACCCCCCAAACTGAAGAATTCTTCTCTTTATTAAAAGACAGTATTTAAATAGTCATAAAGGAAAGAGCTGAGTCTCTCTGCCCCAGAGGGCAAGACAGCTATAGGAAATACTTGGAACCACAAAGAAACTCACTTACATCTCCTGGGGCCACCACATCATTGCAGAAATAGCAGCCAAGTTTGTAGCCAGGGATGTTGGCAAAAAGCGACGAGCCCAGATCAGTAGGTGCCACAGGGTGGCTGGGACACAAGTCCCCGGCACCCTGATGCTTAGGTTTCTTCAGGCCATGTCTCATGACAACAAATGTGTCAAAGCCCAAGGCAGCATTGATGACCAGCTGTGGGTTTCAAGGAATAAAAGACTAGAATTAAGAGGCACTTGTATTTTAAGCCACGGCTAATTTCATATTTGGTCAACTTTTAAAATTTATTTTGTACTTGCATATGAGTGTAATTAGATACTAGAAGATAATGTTGGTGAAAGTTACCCAACACTGAAGGCATATTAAGTGCAAGTGATTAACATAAATCATCTCTTTTAGTTTCATTTAAAACTCCCAGCAAACATTTTCTATTTAAAGATGAGGATATTGAAAGTCAGAGAGGTTACTTCTATAACCTGTTCAAGGTCACTTAGCTGGTAAGAGATAGGCATATAAAACCACAGTTTGATATTTCTTAAACCCATTCTTTCCACTGTTATACTGTGGTCTCTCATGTCTACACAGATTTTTCTCATAACAGTTTGAGATATAATTCACATACTATACAATTTACCCTTCATAGATTTTTAAGAACAGCTTTTATTTTTACTTATAGGAACTTCTTTTAGTTGTAACTTAGTTTATTCTCCCAAATTCCAAGTTATATAAAAAGTTAGAAAAATAAAGAAAAACCATACCAGAAAAGAAAACAAAAGTCACTCACAATCTTACAGCTCAAACAGTTACTATTAATAATTTGGGGAATTTCTTCCTATTATTTTTTCGTTTTATCTCCCGTTCCTTCTCCCTCCCTTTCTCCCTTCTTCATGTTTCCTCCCCCATTGATAAACCGACATAGACATAAACATTTATATATATATATATATATATATATATACATAATTGATATAAAGTATATGCAGTATTTTCTCTGCTTATTTAACATAATGTGGTATTTTCCATGTTATTAAAATTCACTGAAAACATAACCATGAATGGCTGCATATTACTCTATCACATGTATGTACCATGCTTAATTTAACCACCAATACTGTTGACCCTTGAATGTGTCACTGACCAAATAGTAGTGAATATGACAAAGTCTTTGCCCTCTTGGAGCTTACATTTTAGTGTGAGTACCCATTCTAGTCCAAAGTACCTGAACGGGCTATGGAAATTAAGCAGTAAAGGATAACTATTATGTTGGATGACGGCTGTGAGGCAGATAATCTGCAGTGGAAGCCTTTTCCAATTGTGTCACTAAGGACACACGAAGCACACGTCTTTTCTGCAGGGAGGGTGGACTGGGGACACTTCTCCCTCTAGGGTGATTGTGCATTAAATCACAACCAGAGAAAAAAGCCCCAGGGGATCCATACACCTTACCTTTCTCTTGCTCGCAGCAATGACAGCAGGAAGCCACCGGCTCTCCCTGGTGTCCATCAACAGAAAGACAACATCATGGCTTTCGATGAGCTGCTCCAGTTGCTCCACATCCCTGCGGGCTTGCTCCAGGGTCACGCTGGAGAAGTTCACTGGATGTCCAGGCATGGGGATGCTCATGTTGAACCCTCTGGCATTCTAGGGAAACACCCAGATATAAGGATGTCTGAAGCAGAGGTAGAAGTGATGTCTCAGAGCCCATGTCTTCCCATAGCTACAAGCATGTAAGTATGGTCACTTGGCAACCAGAAATGTCTCTGTGCATAATTATGTTGCTTTTTCCTTTTGCTACCCGTGCTCTCAGGCTTCTTTACCTCTGTATCCTAGACCTCCTTGGCCTGCCACCACAGGGTCCCTAAGTCTGGATAGAGCAGCAAACAAAGAAATATGAATATTAGTTTCAAAGTGGGTGGCAGGGCACTTCCCATCTGAAGCAAGAACCCTGGAGAAAGCTGTTTATCTTTGGCTCTTTCCTACAATCTGAGGCCAAAACACTTCATCAAAATGCCCTCTGCCTGCACAAATCCCCTCTGTCCAGCTGAGCTGTCTCTTCTTACTTGTTCCCAACTTGCCCTCTCCTCCTTTTCTTTAGTGTATAACATCTCAAAATGACATGTTATAACAAAAAACATTTGATTTAATAAATTTACATAAGATTAGAATGACTGCTAGTCTTGCCTTCATCTTCCTAGGGTTATACACATTTAAAAAACAACAACCTCAAAACCAAAAACTGCTTGTTAACTTTCAGCCAGAAAATCTACTTAGGACTGTGCAGATATTTGTTGGGGAGGGTGGGAAGTGGGGAGGGCACCCTAAGAGCATGTGGTACTAAAGTGAGGCCTCATTCTCTGTCCAAAAGTAGAAGTTCCCTGGCAACCTGGGTTTTCTTCAAGTGTGGGGATGCACTTTCACAGGGGCTTTAGCACAGCTCTGTAATTTACCATTTGCCCCCTGCTGGCCACAGAGTGTCTTGGCAGATTAACAGTGAGTCACATATGGGTGCCAAAGGAGCTGGGGACATTAACTTTCCAAGAAAGAAAGTTTTCTAGAATCACAAACTGCACCCTTAATGCCCTGCATAGACCTGGCCACACGGAAGTGTGTGGAAACATCAGCTTTTTAATTCCTTTGCCAAAACCCCTCACCCACTGGAAAAATAGCTCAGGGGGCAGGGCAAGAAGGTCCTGTTACAACGGAAAATCTATTTTGTATAGTGTAGATATTTTCTCCTAATCTTAAATTTTAAATCTAATCTCTGGAATTCAAGAACGGGACAATAGTGACAACAATCTTTAGAAGAATGAGGGGAAAAAAAGTTGGAAGAAAAACAGGAAAGGACGCCAGGCAGAAAGGACTTCAGCAAGAATAAAGGTTCAAAACAAGTCCATCTGAACAATGAAAACACCACAAAGACAACTCCTGGGACCTCATTTGTTCATTCATTATGTATGGTGCACCTACCATGTACCAAGTACTATAACAAACGATAAGAAGAGCAACCACCACAGTCATAACAACAACAACATAACGAACAATAATAATGAAGTATTTCAAGTGGTAGTAACTTGGTCCAAACAGATATTATTTAGGTATTTTAATGACGCCAAGATTAAAGTATAATTACTCAATGCCAATTCTGACCTATTGAATAGTACAGATCCTCACCCATATCCACTTTGCTAACCTAAATAATTCTCTGCTTGCTAAAATTTCAGCCAATAAACGTCGATAGGACTGGCCCTTGGCTTGCCATTTAGGTTTATACAACTGAGGCTGGAATTCAGCAAGTTTCAACAGAGTAGGTTTCAACCTTGGTTGCACACTAGAACCACCCAGAGAGTTTTAAAACTTCCTAATGCCAGGCTTTTCCCTAGACCATTTGAATCGGAATCTCTGAGAGTGGACCCAGACACCAACATTTTCTAAAACTCCCTAGATGATTCAATTGTGTGACTGGGGCAAGGTATAATTTACAGAAAAGGTGAAATGTACAGATCTCAAGTGTACAGTTCAGTGTGTTTTGCAAAACTGCAGATTAACCACTGTAACGCACCTGTAAAGATACAGAACATTTCCATTACCCCAGAGCGCAATCTTGCACCCCTTCCAGTCAATCCCCACTACTCTCCAACCCCACTGGGACAACTGCTGTTTTGACATTTTAAAAAAATTTATTTTTCAATTACAGTTAACATACAATATTACATTAGTTTCAGGTGTATAAACAGTGATTAGATGTTTATATATCTTACCTGGTGAGTCCAGTAGCCATCTGGCACCAATGTAGTTATTATAATATTATTGACCATACTCCCTGTGCTGCACTTTACATCTCATGACTTTATAACTGCCAATTTGTACTTCTTAATCCTTTCACCTTTTCTGCCCATGCCCCCATTACCCCTCTTATCTGGCAACCATCAGTTTGTTCTATCATGAGTTTGTTTCTGTTTTGTTTGTTCATTTTGTTTTTTAAAATTCCACATATAAGTGAAATAATATGGTATTTGTCTTTCTCTGTCTGACTTATTTCCTTTAGCATAATACCCTCTAGGTCCATCCATGGTGTCACAAATGGCAAGGTTTAATTCCTTTTTATGGCTGAGTAATACTCCATTGTGTATATATATGTACCACATGTTCTTTAACCATTCACCTATCAATGGATAATTAAGTCAGTTCCATATCTTGGCTACTGTAAATAATGCTGCAATGAACATTATTCTGCATTATTATTGTGCAATATTGTGACTTTTTAAACCCTAGATTGGTTTTGCCTAATCTAGGACTTCATATAAATGGTATCCTACAGTATACCTTGTTTGCGTTTGGTTTCTCTCACTCAGCATAATTCTTTTGAGGCTCACCCATATTGTTAAGTATCAACAGTAAGTTCCTTTTTGTAGTATGAATATACCTCAATTTCTTTATTCACTTTCTTATTGACAGCTATTTGGGTTACTTCTAAATTCTGGCTATTATGAATAAAGCTACTATGGACATTCATGTGTAAGTCTTTTAGTATACAGGAGTGGGCAAAAGGAGGTTTACAGCTGTTCATATGGAAGAAGACAGATAATACATATAAATAATACAATAATCAATAAATAAATAATATAACTCATAACTGTAAACCTACTTTTGCCCACCCCTGTATATATGTTTTCATTTCTCTTAGATAGAAAACTAAAAGTGGAATTTGGGGGTCATAGGTAGGTGTATGTTTAATGTCATGAGAAACTGCCAGACTAATTTCCAAAGGCCTTGTTTTACCAGCAAACTATGAGAGTTCTGGCTGCTCCACAGCCTGATAACATTTAGCACTGTCAATCATTTGAATTTTAGCCATTTTAGTGGGTGTGTAGTGATATATATTTGTCGCTTTAATTCATATTTCCTTGATGACTATTAATGTTCAGCATTTTCATGTGTTCACTGGCCATTTATAGAGCTTCACTATGAAATAAGTGCCTGTTCAAGTATTTGCTCCTTAAAAAAAACAGTATGTCTGTCTTATTATTATTGAGTGGTAGGAGTTGTTTATGTATTCTGGATAAAGATATTTGCCAAACAGATGTACTATATTTTCCCAGTTTTGGCCAGCCTTTCCATTCTCTTAATAGTGTCTTTTGAGAAGCAAAAGTTTTAGATTTTTATAAAGTCCAAGTCATACATTTTTTTATTTACGGTCAGTATTTACTGAGTCCCAAGAAATATTTGCCTATCACAAGATCACTAAGCTTCTTGCTCCTAGAAGCTTTGAAATTTTAGCTTTTATGTTTAATTCTATGGCCTTACTGGGATGTCACCTAAGGGCTCAGAGTATTCAGTGAGGTCTCTTCCTTCTGAACAGGTGGAACTCCAATGCCTCCCAGCCTTGTTAGAGCTCTGGTATCTCCATTCTCACAGCAGAATGGTGGTGCTTTTTGCCCAGCTTTACAGAGTCATGACCCGGGCATGTACAACTTCCTATTCAGTCAGAGGCTCAAGGTGCTGCCTAGATAGTTTTCTGGGCCTCCTTCTCTGCACAGCTCCCACATGTCTGATACTCTATCCTGCAAATCCCAGACACCTTAGCTGCTCTGAACTCTGATCTCAGCTTCCTCAGCTCATCAAGACCAAGAATATCCTATGGGCTCTGAAATGGGCCAGAAAATGCTTTCATGCAGTAAGTTGGGACAAACATTCATTCTTTCCCTTCTGTCTGGGACCACAGTCTTTCACTGTCTATTGTTCATTGTCTGAAGAGAGTCATTTTATATATTCCAGGTACATAATTGTTTATGGTAGGAGAGCTAGTCCAATATCAGTTATTCATCAGGGTTGGAAGCCGATGTTCAGAGTTGGGTTTTAAAACCTTTAGTGTAGCTCCATAATTCTACATTTTATTGCCTAGCCTTAAAAAAAAAATGGTGACCTCAAATAGTTACTTGATTTATTAAAGGTCAGATTTTTTTCCTATTCAATTAATTCAATTCTCAAATTAGGCATGGTATTTGTAGCAGTGCAATTCTTTTCATGTCTTGTTCACTTAGGACTAGCCTTTTGGCCATGGCCTGGAACAAGGAAGGTAATGAATATCTGTTAAATGAAAAAACTACACTAAATTGAACATATAGAGAAAATGTTCTTTATGGGTAAGCCTGGCTAAGCAATAAGTGAAATAGCTTCACAAGTATTTTTCATGAATGAATTATACCAGCACTTTGATGGGCTGTATACATTACCTATGATTGCTCAATAGGCATGAAGGATAAAAGTATGAGAGACCTGACTCCTGGGCTCAAGGACTTAATACTCCAATAGGGATGTCTGTGCTGAGGAAGAGGCTTGATCCTGGTGGGCTGATGTTTTCAAGAAAAGCTGAACTTGATCTCTAAGGTCCAGCATGATGTGGCCCTTGCTTCGGCCCCAGTCTCTTGTCTGTCTTCCTTGAACTTTGTGCTTCAGCCACCCTGGTTTTCCCTTCAGTTCCAAAGAAGCACCATGCTGCTTCCTACCTCAGGTGTTTGCACAGACAGATATCTGACTGTCTTTCACCAGTACCATACAGCCTCATTCCTCAAGACTTAAACGTTAAAGACACAGGAGAAAAACTCTGACATTCCCAAACAGCATCAACGCACCACTCCGGGGAATATTCTCTGGAGCCGGTCTGCTGCAGCCAGGGCCTTGGACTTGCCACCTGTTAGGCAATCTTCAAATTCATAGAGAGGCTGCCTCACAGGATTGGAGTAGGAGATCTTCGCATTGTCCACAAATGTGATGTGTCTGACGCCCCATCCCTGCATGGAAACAGGATATCATGGTGTGTTTCTGGTGAACGTTTCACAGGGTATCTCTCTTGAAATCCTGAAAAGGCATTTGCTTTGGAGCAGCTTGGGAACCTCAAAATATAGGGAACTTCAGAAATTAAATTGTGCAAATTCAGTTTCTGATAAACAGAATATCAAAATTATACACCCAGTACCTGGTTTCCTGTAGTAATGAGACTAAGAAGTGTCAGAGTGGCTCTAGCTAATAATTCACTACTTTTGACAGTCGTGCCAGAAAAAGATTTGGAGGTGACTCTCATAAAAACTGTCTATGTTGCTGTCTTAAAAGAATTAGCAATAGCCCCCCCATGTCCTTGCTTCCCCTTAAGGAATAATTAAATAACAGCTCATCTTAAAACTCACTTAAAGCCTAAATTAACTCCTGGGAAAAATGACTTACAAGTTATTTCCTACTAACACTGTAGAAGAGTTTCTATTATTTCTCCAAGAGGCAAAAGCCTTAATAATCTAGAATGTAGGGGATGATTCTGTATTCTCAGATAGTTTTCATACACTTCAATTACATCTATAAAGTCTTAAAGCTGGATAGGATCTCTAAAAATCTTTAGTCCAATTACTTTGTTTTACAGATATGAAAACTAAACTCAGAAAAGGTAAGTGACTCACCTAAGGCCATAGATGTAGTTAATGGTGGGGAAGAAATGAGATCTCCAGAGTTGCTATCAAACGAAGATGCCCACTTTGGGGGG